CTTAGTCAAGCATTACACTCCTCGACTTTGGAACTGGAGAGTAGTGTTTGGGTTATGGTTGAGCAGGCCTCGGGTGCCACGTGTACCTCCGTGGTCGCCTTGTAACTTTGATTGCGTCGGCACCACATCAAATGGTCAAGCGCAATCAATACAAGAGAACACAGTATGGATAAGGAGGATAGCTCCGTCAGGGATTAGGTCTTATCCCGAAGACCTCAGCAGACAATCTCATCCCGACAACCCCGAAAGCCTTACCCAAACAGGGCACAGGTCCTCAGCTATAAAAACTTAACCCACACTCAAGGTAAGGGATCTGACTTTTGAACTCCTCAGCACCCATACTGCTCTATTGCTCGAACCAGCATTACTCTCAACTACTCGGCCCGACCAACCATTCTCCTCGACTAACTTGAGCGTTGGAATACCTACTCGAGGAATAACTCCTCGGACCTCTAACCACTTTCTTGGTTTCAGATCTTGGAGCACGACTTCATCCTTCCACCTCAACCTTGCCTAATTGGCAAAATTATCTGAGTGCAACCTCGGCTTGGAACACCTCAGATCGAGCAACATCACTACTCGAGCTCAACTCGTTGAATACTCAACTTCAACTTATAGATAATCAAGTTCAAGCTAAGCTTGAGTATTTAATCAAATTGATATTTGAGTTTCATAATACTCATCGCAAATGATTCGTGAGCCTAATCAAGTTAATACATTTTTATTTATAATACTCTTAAAATATTATATTATTGAATATTTTATGATTCTTTTACCTAGGGTTGTTTTTTTTGCATTTTATTTGTTCCAACACTTGTACCTCATCCCTAGTTCCACCCTTCTTCCGCTTTGTACAAATGTTCCCATCTCTATAAGCTTGTACCTTTTCTTTAATCCTTTTAGTGTTTTCTCTGATGAGCTTATCTGCTCTTGCTTACAAACAGCTAGAGAAGAATAAAGAAAGGGGGTGGAATATCTCAATACAACCTAGGTCCACTTACCTATATGCCCTCTATAATCCTCACCCCTCACCTTGGTTGAGTGAAGTAATTGTATTGGACCAACACCTTCTCGTTTTATGTGGCCCTAGGCCGGAGCAGCCAGATCCAAAACACTACTTCATTTAATGTGTGAAAATGAAACACATTATCTACATGTGGCTCCAAGTCGAGCCTCAGGGAGTTTTCCTTAAGAAGCCTCACCTTGAGATGAACCTCTAGACATAATGATAGGCCCAAGCCCAATACAATTGGGCGATCATCATCTGTGGTCTTGGTTCATCCATACAATCAAACATACATAAGGGGACCACATAATAGAGTCAATTTGTGTTTGATGCGTTGATTAAATGAGATAATTCGATTAGGAGTCTTGTAGTTGGTTGTTATAACTTATAAACAAGTACACAATGAATAAGAGAGGTAAGCAATTGTTGATTCAATCTCTCTCTCCCCGCTCTTTGTTAATTCTTTTAGGAGGTCTAAGCACCCTCAAAGAAACAAAGAAGCTCATGTGATTGGGTATATTTCAAGCTTCAGCTACATAAGGAAACATCTATCGTTCGACGTGCATGGCAGAATTTGGTCCCAAGTATTATAGGCCTTATCGCATTCTAGAGAAAATAGGGCCCATCGCTTACAAACTTGAATTGCGACTAGAATCCAAGGTGAACTCAATGTTTCATGTCTCTTAGATTAAGGAGCATGTTGGTGACAATGTCAAGACCCAAGTTGCTCTCCCAACATTCTCTGATGATAGAACTATGACCATTAAATTGGTCAAGCTCAATGATTTTCGTCGGATCCGCAAGGGAAGGTACTATTTTCAGGAAGCCTTGGTCGAATAGTCTTAACAATAGTTGGAAAGAATATGCTTGCTTAACAGGAGTTTCCCCACCTTAACCTAGAAGACAAGATATATCTTTGGAGAGAAGGAGTTGATAGGCATAGGCCCAGGCCCATTAAAGTTAGACGATCCACATCTATGGTCCTAGTTCAGCCATACAATCAAACATACATGAGGGGAGCATGTAACAGAGTAATTATGCTTGAGTTATAATATGAGTTAATTAATTGGGCAGGTTTAATTAGGAGCCAATTAGGCAAGTTTGACTTTAAGTAGGAAGGTATTAAATAGAATTAGAATTAAATTAGGAATCATGCAATTGGTTGTTATAAATAAGTACACAATGAATAAGTAGGAATGACAATGAGGTAGGGATCATATTCCTTGCCCCTAACCCTAACCCTGATCCCCATCGAATAGAAACATGCTAGTGAAAAATCAGCATTCAGCATTTAGTTGGTGGTGGAGGGGGTGGTCGTCGTGCAGAACAATATATAGCTAACTTAGTTAATGTTTCCTTTTTTATTCTCATTGTTCTAACAACAAATGGAATAATCGATGTAAGTCACTATAAACTAGTGTTGATGCATGTAGAGCTTATGCTTATTATTGAGTTTTGAGAACAATCTTTCCAAATCCTTCAATGACATGCTTTAACATTTACTCTCCCTAATGGCATGACCACAATTACTGCATGCATCATAGGGAAAGTCATTTATATAATGATGGTAATTAATCAAGGCCCCTGTCGATATGTGATCATGCTAACATATTTGAACAAGTGGTGATTTTTTATCTTCGTGGGTGGATAGATGTTGAAACCAATGTTTCAAAAACTGACCCAGATACTGAATTGTTTTTTATATTGGGTCGTGGGTCACTGGTTCGACCATCCAAATCGAATGGACTAGATCATGCCATGTCAAGTATAGAGTCTATAGACATATCTTTTATCAATAAATAATATAATTATATTTTACATGTAATATATATTTTATATAAAAAAACTATCCAAAATAAAAATGACCCAATCATACATTTGAGTGTAAATTTATAGCCTTTAAACGTTGCACATACATTGAGGTGCAATCAATGACTTGGTGATCGGGTCAACAATTCAACCACCTCACTTTTTTTTTTTCTGGATTTATTTACCAAAACTTCCGATACAATACCCTCTTTTTTATTTAATCAATAAAAACCTCTTCCTTCTTATATCAAGTGATTTAATCAATTCAGCTTTAATAAATTCTGACATAAGCTCTTAAAATGGTGATTTTGGGGCTTTCTGCTTTCATTCTCAAAGTTCACTGAGAGAGAAAGAAAAAGGAATCTAAACCTAGAAAACTAGTATGCTTTGGAATAGCTTCAGTTTCAGTTAAAGTACTCAAGTGGGAAGTTTTGGCATTCAATGCTCTTGGAAGGAATGATGATACACATCTTCTCCCAACATTCCCCACAAAATAGTGTCACTCCCTCTTCCAAGTTATTGCAACGAATATATCCTTCAACCATAGGGTCTCACACACACAACCCTCTGGTGTGTCAATCGGTACTAATGGACATAAGAATTTCCAATTGAATTGATCTAAAGTTGTTTTTTATGACATAAACATGTTCCCTATTTTCGCAGAAATGTTTTTCAATTTCTTTATGGCACTTTCGCTAAGTTTCAGTTGCAAAGAGAGGCATTCTTGTGAGATCTATCTAGAGCCAGGAAGCATAATGATCATCATTGTATTTTAATACACCACCACATCTCTTGAGTTTTAGAGGTTGTTTTTGAGGTTTTTTTTTTAAGATTTTACAATCCAATAATGTGTAGGGATGATTTGGTGAGTTCGGAAGAGGAAAAAAGGCTTTTGGAGAGAATTAAAAGCCTTTTTTCTCAAACATTTTAATTCGTTTTTTGCCTACAGGAAATCATATTGTATCGGCGAATACACCCCGATACAACTACGATACGACCCCAATACGCCCCGATATGGGGTCGGCATAACGAAAAGATACGACACAAATGATTTTGTGGCATTTCCTGTGTCAATCCCTTAAAGATACGATACATATCAGTCGATATGGGCCAATACGTTGCAAAATTTTAAACCTTCAGTGAGATCGTAATAAGAATTCGAGGCACCAACACAACAACTCTAAACCCTTAAAAACCGTAAACCCTAATTATGAATCCTAAGGTTAATGTGAAAATGCCATTGGATGAATGCCTCCAACCTAGGGCTGTCAGTGGGTTGGTTTTGCCTGGTTGTCTCAATTGAACCGAACTAATTATGTTGATTTTGGTTCCATGATTTTGCCCCAATTAATAATCGGGTCGATTTCGATTCTTGCTTGTCCCGAACCAATTATTTTATTAAATATATATAATGTTTCATAATTTATTATATTTATATTTGAAATGGTAAATTTGATAGATAATTTATATGGTAATATTGGTTAAAAATGTTTAATTTATTAACATATAAATAATTTAGTACTTTACTATCATTTTTATAAAGATTATATCATCAAAATTTACGTTTTAAGTTATTATTTAAATAAATAAATATAATTTTCAGAATAATTGAGTCTATTGGATAAGACCCGATAGGACCCGACCATTAATCGGGATGGTTTTGGATCCATTTTTTTGTCCCGATTAATAATTGTCAGGACGGATTCTACCTAAACCCGACCCAGACCCTACTCGTTGACAGTCTACTCTACTCCAACCGTGTAGAGCCAAGTATTTTATCAAGAAAACACTACCATTCATGGGAACTCTTGCCATGTGGCAAAAAAAAGCCATGGAATCTCATCTAGAGTCGCAGAGTCATGGGACATGCAGAAAGATGCTTGCCTGGGCGTTGAGTTGCACCTTGCACGCGCAGAAGTTCACTGTTTTGGGTTGCCATTCGCTAACTCAACACTCGGAAGTCGGAAGGGATTCATTTTTGCTCTTTGTATGAAAAATAAGAACGTTAATGCTTCTTCCGAGTGGAGTGAAAAGTGTGAAATCCATTCCCGCCATTTCTCCTCAAAACCCTGCCAAAGCCTTGTCTTCTCTCTTCAGCCTCACTAAAACACTTTCCTCTCTTAAACAACTACACGGGCAAATCATCATAAATGGACTTCATCGATCGGTTCTCTTCGGCTCCAAGATGTCCAATGTTTATATCGAAGTGGGTTTCCTGGAAAACGCCTCCCAGACTTTTGAACAGATCTCCTCCAAGAACCCACATTCATGGAACACAATCATCTCCGGATATTTCAAGGACGGACGGTTTTCTGATGTTTTGCATCTTTGTAAAAGGATGTGGGGGGAGAGACATACAGCTGATAGTTTCAATTTGGTTTTTGCGGTTAAGGCTTCTGTTGGATTGTGTAATCTACGAATGGGGCAATCTGTTCACTCTCATGCTATCAAATCGGCATTAGAGGGTGATTCTTATGTTTCGCCCTCACTTATGACCATGTACGTTGAGTTGGGTTCTCTGGAAGAGGCCCAGAAGATTTTTGACAGAGTTTCCGAGAGAAATGATGTTAGTTGTGGTTGTATGATTAGAGGTTACTTGAATTTTTCCAAAGAATATGAAGTTTTTGAGTTGTATCATGAGATGGTTAGCGCTGGTTATGAATTGGATTCGTTTTCAGTGGAAGGTTTAATTAGAGCCTGTGGAAATGTTTGTGCTGGTAGAGAAGGAAATGCACTTCATGGATATTGCATAAAAAGGTGCTTCATGGATTCTGGCATCTGTTTACAGACATGCATCGTGGATATGTACACGAAGTGTGGCTTGCTCGAATGTGCACTCAAATTGTTCGAAGAAATCTCTGATAAGGATGTTGTTTTATGGAGTTCAATGATTGCTGGCTTTTCAAAAAATGGTAGAACTTGGCAAGCAATTTCCCTTTTCCATCAGATGTTGGAAGAGTCAATAGTGCCAAATGCAGTAACGTTTTCTAGCGTTCTTCCTGCTTGCTCACACTTGGGTTCTCTGCAACTAGGAAAGGCTATTCATGGATATGTTACCCGGACTGATTTTGAATTGGATGTGGTAAGCTATACTGCTTTTATTGATATTTATGCCAAATGTGGCCATGTTTGGATAGCCTACAGAATGTTTAATAAGATGCCTGAGAGAAACGTATATTCTTGGAGTGCAATGATCAATGGATTTGGAATACATGGTTTGTATTCTGAGGCATTTAATCTTTTTGCTCAAATGATGTCTGAAAACCTTGAACCCAATTCTATTACATTTGTCTCAGTCCTGTCTGCTTGCAGTCATTCAGGTAGGATAGAAGAAGGATGGCGCTATTTCCATTCAATGAGCAGGGATCATGGAATTTCCCCTGCAGAGGAGCATTATGCATGCATGGTTGACCTATTAGCTAGGGCAGGGCAAATTGATGAAGCACTAAATTTTGTCAACAATATGCCAATCCATCCTGGTGCTAGCATTTGGGGAGCGCTATTGGGAGCTTGTAGAATTCACAAAAAAGTTGAATTAGCAGAACAAGTGGCTAAGAAGCTGCTTGTTTTAGAGCCTGATCAGTCAGGCATGTATGTATTGCTTTCTAATATATATGCAGCTGTTGGGATGTGGAGAATGGTGAAGAAGATGAGGGGAATGATGAGTGAGAAGGGACTTAATAAGATTGTTGGATTTAGCTTGATTGAAGTTGGGAAGAAAATATATGTATTTAATGCAAATGATAGATGTGTTGATAGAAACATGGAAATTGAGAATGTTTGGAGTTCACTACAAGAACAAATGAAAGCACATGGTTACTTGCCTCATATTAGTTTGGCTCATGATATGGATGACTAGGTAAAGGATGCTTTGTGGTTAGAATTTAATGTTGGCAACTTGACTTGGGGTTCTGAAAAACTTGAGCAGGAATGCAAAGTTGACTACAAAGAATTTGAATGTGGTTAGGGATGCCGATCTGTAGCATATTTGGTCAAGTTTAGGACAGCCTTTGTTGGGTTGGTTTGGGTTTGGGCTAAATGAGTCTAACCTTTCAATTCATTGGACTTGGCCAAGATTGGATTTTGCTAGCTCTGACCCATCCAGTCACCGTCCCCTGTATATAAAGGGGTAGTCTTGTAATTTCCTCTAAATTGTAATTTGAATCTTTTTTTTGGTCCTTTAATGAAATTTGAAACTGTTTATCATGAAACTTTCCTGCATACACAACAGGTGACAACACAGCAGATGGATATTTACAATGGAATGTTCATGAAACTTAAATAACAGGTGATACAGTGACATTGAAGAACAGCCTTCACTTAGAACAGGGGTACTGTTCACAGGGATGGGCTAGGTAGTGTTGGTTGGAACCCTATAGCGTCAGGGTGGGTTCAGTACTTCTGTTTCATTTAATTGGGTTGGGGGTAGGTTTGGTAGCATGTCCTTAGGGTGGGGATTAGGGGTGTCAACAGTATTCGAAAATCCGATTTCGAATTCATGATTCGACATAATCGAATCAAATTTGGATAATTCGAATATCTAATCGGTCGAATTCGGATATGACCTGATTCGATTCGATAAATATCCAAATTTGACTGATTACTTAATTCTTATATAAAATATTTAAATGTTTTATATAATTTATATATAATAATTAAATTATATATTTATATACTTTCTATAAATAAAATATTCATTTTATATATTTATTACTTACCTAAAATAATTAATTGATCAAATTCGAATTGAATCTAATCGCATATTCGAATATTTAATTGAATTCAAATTCGAATATTAATTTTCATTATCTGTCGGATATCGAATCGAATTCGGATATTGATTGATTCGATCCTTTTACACCCCTAGTGGAGATCGGATTGAGGCAAACACATACCAAACATGAAACCTGAGCTGTCAATATTCCTAGGGGTGATTATCTCAAATGCAAGTAAGAATTATTCTTTGATTATTATGAGGGGGATCATAATGGGAAACCAAGTTAATGTCAAACTTTGCTGGTACGATGGTACTAATTGAAAGAGAAAATTTTGATCACCAATCAAAGTTGTTTTTGACTCCCGATTGGCAGGGAAAGACCAAGAATTTGTGGACCTGCCAACTGCATTACACAATTTTTCTTCAATCTCATCTGAGCAGTCTAAGCTGGGTTACATACCCATGGTTGGCACTTGGTTTTTGGAGCCTAATGTGGTATTCATGATGCACCAAGGCACAATCTTTTCCCTTGTAGTGCATGTTGATTTTCATGTGAATGTTCCTTCTGATTTTGGGTTAACATCCCAAGCGTCATGCAATTTGTTTTAAGTTTATTGTATTTATTTTTTAATTTACATCTGCAAGGGAACTCCTATAACCTATAAGAGTAATTTTGGGTTGGTATTTTAGTGGATCTGCCTATATATGTCAAGTAGTAGTTTATGAGAAAGGATGATCTTACTGTTTACTTTATCTTTGATTTACTCTATTTTTTTTCTGAAAGATGTCTCAAGATCAAAACCCAACTATTATTATAGGATCAATTGAATTTGGTGTTAAGCGTCCTTTACCAACTCTGGAGTCAGACTGCCATTTTTTTATGTTTGATATTCCCTTCCCTGAAGTTCTTTGTGTTTTTCTCCCCTCCACTTCTTTTTCTTAAGTTTTGTCTCTTCTCCTTCATTTGTTTATGCCTCCTGCCACATATCCCGGAGTTTCTTTATATTTTTAGCTCTGCTAGTTTGAGTTCTTTGCCTCCCCTTGTGTTCTCTTGGATGTTTTTGATTCAAATCCACCCCTCATCACCGTTGTTCCCTTCCTCCATGACACACAAATAGAGAGAACACCGGCAAGAAGCTAGGGTTGCGCATGCAACAGCCCAAGTAGGTAGCTCATGCACCAAAGGCCCCATGTTGCCTCCAAGATGTCAAACTTTGCAGCATGTGACGATTCTTCATGTGACTACACCTCGGTATCCAGATTCTCAGCTTATAGACCTTGAAAGGCACACCTTAAACCATGCCCAAGTGGGTCAAATATCAACTTGATTTTTCTGCATTCCTACTACTTTGAATCAAAATGATGATTATTGCTTCTTAAGAATGTTGTTTGCTTGCAAATTGCAATATTTCCTGTCTACACACTTGTAGTAAGCCTAAGTCATGTTAACAGGTCTAATGAAAAGAAGTGATGTGATTTTTAAAAGAAGCCTAAACATACCTGAGACGGTTACTGGAAGTTGCATCCTAACCTGAAACCTGCACAAGTGGTGAGTCCATTTCTTCATCTAATCCCATGCCAGCATCTACTAGTCATTCTTCACTAGAGAATCTTTCAGTAGCCAGAGTAGAATTTATGAGGTACAGTAAGTATCTGAGCCAGCTGGAGAACACAATAAAGAGTATACAGGCACTGGTTTTACTGATTTGCTTAGACAGGTACTTGAGCAATAGTCAACCATGCATCTGTATTAGGTAATCAGAGTTCCCTTGATAGCCAAACTAGGTGTTTCTGATCACATGGCCAATGTATCCTTAGTCCTTACTCTTTGAGAATGGAAAGCACTCACTGCTGAGTCTCTCTCTTATGAGGCAGTATTACTTTCCATTTCAAGAATGTGATCTTCCATGCACATTTTTTCAAGTTAAATTATAAACTTGCTTAGGAAAACTCCAATACAAGGTGGGACATAGGGTGGCATAGACAAGGGGTGAGGGAGTGAACATGTGGCCAACCTACATGAATATGGATATCAAGAATTATACCTCTTCTGAGTTCTGATAAAGCTTCAAGAGAACAATATGGATAGAAAGTGGAGTTGGTATTCTACAAGTTCACACTTGACAAACTTTGTAGGTATCTTTTGTCATGGATTGAGAATAACACTCTGTGTGTGTGCACACATGCATGCATAACGGAGTTTGTATTCTACAAGTTCACAATTGACAAACTTTGTAGGTATCCTTTGTCATGGATTGAGAATAACACTGTGTATGTGCACACATGCATGCATGCATGCACATGCATGTACCCCTCTTCTGTGAACAATTTTTCATGCTAAATTATAAAACCTGCTTGGGTAAACTCCAATGCAAGGTGGGGCATAGGTTGGCATAGACTTAAGGGGTGAGTGAACAAACATGTGGCCAACCTGGAGTGAACATGAAGCCAAATTTGAGGGTTCCCTGTCCATTGGACAATTTGGATCTGCCACATAACTTCATGTGGCAGACATGGGGGAGGGTGTGCAGGGAAAAACCAATGTGGCCTGCTTTACCCTGGTAGGAAACCTTTTCTCATATGGGCATGCATGTGCTTGTGTACTACAGTATAATGTGAATGTATGCATGAATATGACCATATAAATGTATGCACCACTTTTTGCACTATTTCTAACCATGGTACATGCATAAATTCAAATTCACAATCACTTTCATACCATTGTTGCAACCTTTGATATATAGTTCAGCAAAGGAATCTATTTTGCTGACCTGCTCAAAAACATTGCCCATTATTTCCATGCAGACAAGAAGAATCCAGCAAGTCTGATGCTTCTTGGTGAAGTGACCTTAGGTGAGATCTATGAACTCAAGAAAACCTTGCTAAGTCCATGACACATCATCAAAGTTACATTAATACTTAATACATGTATGATGTAACAGATATTTGCATTTATATTGTTGTCATTACATTTAAGTAATAGATCTACAGGTACATTTAGTATCAAGTACTGATGCATATATGACACTGGAATTGCTTATTGTCATGGACATAAGATCTATTCCATATTCCTGCATTGGAGTCGTTTATCTTTACCCCTGATTTCTATTTTCATCTAACTTCTGTTTCTACTAATATTTCCCACCACAGCACATGGAGAAACCTCCAAAAAGAAAGCACTCAACCAAGGTCTTGGCATGAAAGATACCTAAGGAGTCGAGACTATGTGAAGTGGATGGATGATGTGGTTGTGCCATGTGGAAAACTGGTGCTGTCAAAAGTTTAGTCTTCTGAGCTAATGTATGAAGATATCTTGTATGATACAGCTCAGATTAGAAATCGGATTTGGTCCTCACAAGACCATGCTCGCACTGTTCGCACAGTCGCTTGCATCCTTGCATTGGGAATATCTCCCCATGAAAAAAAGCATACAAGTACGGAGATATTCCCAATGCACAGCTGTAAAAGGCTGTGTGAACGGTGTGAGCGCGGTCTTGTGAGCACTGAAGCCGATCTCTCCTTTTCTTGGTATTGATTGAAAATTTTTTACCTTTCTTTATGGTACCTACCAACAACTTTATTACTCAGTCCTGCATTTAAGATTAGATGTTTATAAGCTTAACCAAATTGCTGGTTACAAGGGGACAAAACGTTTTACAAGTCATCAGTATGACCCTTTCATAGTGATAGATTTGGTGGTTGTTGGGTCAACCTTCTTTTTCTTTTCCCATGTAATGGTAGGGTGGAAGGTCCTAAAAAATGAATTTAATCTTCCCAATAAACTGGGTTATACACTGGATGATACCCGCAGGATCACTTCCCTCATGGTCTATGGCTTTTTCATTGCTTTTGGTTTACCAAGCATAGTTATTTAATACCCTGGTCTCTGGGTTTTGAGTAAATTCAGAGGTTTTGTAATATGAACAGGTCAAGATGATTAAATGCAGTTCTTGAAGGTGAGGTTACACCACAAAAGATAAGGAAACAGAGGTGAGTGATGCTCCCTTTTTTGAGAGGTATTGGTTTTTCTGGGGAATGATATTTTGTTTTTATGCAGTCATGTAAGGAGGGTGAGCCTTTTTTAGTGGTTGGGGTTATATAGAAAACGTGTTCTCTTTCTTTTCCTCCATCATTTTGTCTTGTTGACAAGCATCTAGGGTTTTGATAACTGATGAGATCTCATTTGGGGTGGAAATCTACCAAAATTCTGTGCTGAGTAATTTGTAATGCAAAAATCCTGTAAAATCCTTTCCATCAAGGAACAGAAAACAAATTGAGATCTACCCTTGAGTATTATTAGCAGGTCATGACCACTAATAGGCACATTATGATAAGTAGCATACATGCAAGGAATGAGGTCCCACACTGCGGCGGGCTCTGTAAACGCTGGCAGTTTTTTGACTTTAGGGTGGGCCAGTGGGCCAGTGGGCCTCCTTAAGACTTGTATTAGCTCATCTGATAAAATCCTGACCATCTGATGCAAGCTCAAAGGGCACTACTGCCTATTTAACTAATGTGGCATATAGTTTACTCGTATATCTGTAAGTAATGTAAAGATGGACTTCACGTAAGATCTTTGTGATGATGTGGCAAACATCTCATAATCTCATCTCCCCTTTGATCCAACCATCTTGTTGTAGGGTCCCATTTATCAAGTTGTTAGGTGGGCCCCTTGTGTACTTCTACCAGTCACTTGGACTGCATCAACCTCGTACCTTGGCCATCAATTGGGTGCATCCCAGCACATCATATTCCCATAAAGAAATCACAATTCACAGTTCACAGGAGTGCAAGAAGTGATCATAATAGATCTTCATCAATGGTATATGATTAGTTGTGGATGGTCAAGTGGGCCATGTTTCAGTACTGCTGGCATCGCCATTAAAATACCCAAAATGTTTATTTGGAAAAAGAAAATAAACAAACAATTAAGAAGGAAAAAGGTGAAGTGTTGTTCAAGGTATAACCTTAAACCTGCTTCAACCCCCCAACTGATACCGCGCGATTCATCAATTTCCAAGCCCCCGCCAAAAGAAAACTGAAAACCGACCTCTTTTTTCTCATCAGTACTTGAAAAATCATCAATCTTTATTATAAAATACTCATCAGTTTATAATACAAACAACTAACAAAACTATAAAACAAAGCAAGCACAACTGTTGGTGAAGCTTATTGACAGGTAGCAGTAAAATAAGGAGAGAAAGCAAACAAATAGAAGCAGAACCCAAGTGCGGCGTTCGGCGGACTGATTTGCATAAATTATTAATCTATGAATCGATCTTACATTAATAAAAACAAAAACGTTAGTATATAAACTATTCCAAAACAAATCCCATTTCGTATACACCATTGAAATATGTCTCCTTACAACCCTACACACAGACCTTCCATGTCCCCCATTCAGGCCCTTTATAAGACACCTTGTGTTCCTTAACCCCCCATAACTCCACTTGTGCCTTAAGGGACTCTCTCATCCCAATCCCATTTCATTCATCAGTCATCACCATTCACCACTTCTTCCTTCCTTTGTGTGTCCGTGACTGTAACTCTAGCCCAACTCTTCTGGGTTCGTCCATGGCTGCAGGAACTGCGTCTCCTTGTGGCGCCTGCAAGTTCCTCAGGCGAAAATGTGCCTCGGATTGCATCTTTGCACCTTATTTTTGCTCTGAGCAAGGCCCCGCCCGATTCGCTGCCATTCATAAGGTGTTCGGTGCTAGCAACGTTTCCAAATTGTTGCTGCATGTTCCGCTCCATGATCGGTGCGAGGCCGTCGTCACAATTGCTTATGAAGCTCAGGCCAGGATCCGTGATCCAGTCTACGGCTGTGTCGCCCATATATTTGCCTTGCAACAGCAGGTTGTTCTCCTGCTTAACTCACTGGCCTATTAATTGTTTTGGGTCTCTACTAGAAGATTAATTTGCTCACCTGAACAAATTCTCTAGTCTGCAGGATTGAACAGTGATTAACAGATTGTTGGTATTTATTGGCACAGGTGGCATTGCTGCAAGCACAGTTGATGCAAGTGAAGGCTCAGTTGGCTCACAACCTTGTTGCTAATAATACACGGTCACTAGAGAACCATTGGCCAGGGAATACTCCTGCTGCTGGGCAAACTCACCTAACTTATCCAACATATATAAACTCCATCACACCCCAGAGCTCGCCTGATTCAGTGGACCTCAACGACGAGGTTGGGATGCAAGACATGCACAGCAGAGAAGATTTCCCATCCCTACCTTATTGTGACAAGAAAAGATTGTCCCACAATGAATTGAGTGAGCTTCAAGCTCTTGCTCTGAGGATGATGAGGAACTGATTCATATCCTCTCTCAGATGCTGACGATGACCAGGGTAATTCCATGTCTCGTATGATGTAAATACAAGAGAGCCTGAGAGGAAAAAAAAAAAGAAAATTTAGTCTAATGTGATGAAACCCAAATCTGGGTCTTCCCTTTCCATGAAGAGAAATACATCAACTTCAATTAGTTAAACACTAAAACTTGCATCTGTCTCCTTCCTTTCTATGTTTGGACTCTCAGGTTGTTAAGGTCATAAATTGGCTCTTTATGGTAAGAAAACTTAGGATTTCCTAGAAATGTTCAATTTATTTATTTACCATCTTCTCTGTTACAAACTTATCTTGCTTAGCATGAAGATGAAACTTGAAAAGAAAAAATGGAAAACTAATAGTCAAAAATGCATTCTTTATGGAGTCTTTCTCATCTTTTCTTACAGCTAGTAGATATTTCGGATTAAGTAGGGTTAAAGAGATTTCTAGAGGAAACCCCTCGTTGAAATTGCTATGGTGGTTCCAAGGTTAATATAATATTTGTTTTCTTTCAACAATGACTGTGACCCTTGATGACTATAGCTTCCATTGCTTCAACATGATGGGTTTTAGATATTAATCAAAATAATAATGAATTGCAAATTCTGAAATTCCTTCTCGTCGAAGACCTTTCAAATGGATCAGAGCCTCAGAGGCTAATGCCATCATTGTAGTTGGAGTAGACACACTCTCACACCCCGATTTGAGTCTAAATGGAACCCACCAAACCCACTTGCCCCCTTTTTTCTTCTCTAGAAGTTGGCTAACCTAACATAAATGCTAATGTCACTTCTCACAACTTTTGCATGCAAATAGATAGACAAAATGTCTCCTTGATTGAAAGCACAGGGCAATATCAAGTTCAGTAGCTTGTGAGGATCAATAATCAATTAACTTGGTAGGATCTGCAACCCCTAAATTGATGAACTTAAATCAATGATCAACCTCCATTCAAGCAATTCTCTTTGCCTTATAATCTTATTACTTTATTAATGAAGTCCTTCACTTAGAGGAGGAACACAAACTCCTGGTAGCAGCTTTAAAGAGTAGGCTTCAGTCACTCCGAGAGACAGTGTGGCTTGAGGAAAGTGGGAATATCATCTTAATCTCTTAGTTGGATTAGCCTCGGATTACACTACTTTTAGTATTATCCCATCTTTGTTGGCTCCACGAATCATTCCTTTGTGATGCTTTGGATAGGCGAGAGGGATCAAACACCCGTTGAAAGATCTTCATTGATGGATTAGTGAGTAAGTAATAGAGAAAACGCGTAACTAATACTAATATGCTATATTTGCAGTCAACAGAACAATCGCTTTCAACAGGCAACTAGATGAAGCTTGAGCCAGTCTGTTCTCATTCATGAACTATTCTATTGTCATCAAGTTCTGACCTTTCAGTTACTCTAAAGACAGCAAATCTATTGAATGTGATAAATTAGTTTGTCACCACACATGGGTCGATGGATATTAAAATCAAAATTTAGATTCAGTAGAGCTGCTGGGTTAGCACCAAAGCCTAGTCTTAGGAGTAGAGAAATGTATATCCTACACAATCAAATCCTACTGGGTAATTGTTTGCTATTCCACTTGGCCGCATTATACCGATCCCAGATTAAAAAAAGAAGTACAAAAAGCTTAGTTCTGGAATCTATAATTAGTATTCAGTCAATGATCCCCATCCCATTAATGAAAATTGCAAAGTAAATTATGCTTAGAGCCACTAAACAAAAGTGTTCTAGATGAGCTTTACTCAATGTGAGTTTTCAGAAAAGCCTCCACTAAAATCTAAGCTAAGAGACCAAAGAAAAGAAGACAGGAGGAAAGAAGATGAGAGCTTTAGCCAAAAGTAGATGAAGATGAGAAGATGAGTTGAAAAGAGAGGAGAAAATAATTAAAATGTTTGCGGGATTCTTCTTCTGGGGAAATGTTTGAAATTTGGAATGAATCCTGACAAGCACTTGGGCGACCTCCTTTTCTCTCTCATTAATTATGAAGCAGTCGGTGTGTTTAGTGTTTTCACTCTTTGGGAAACAACGGTTGGACTTGGACCTAAGTGTAGGAAAAAAAAAGCAGGAAGGTTATGATATGAAAACCAACAAAATTTTGACCGTTAGGTGAACACAAGAGGGCAATCCAGGCCGTCCAGATGTAGAGCGCCGATTGTAGATCTGACGGTTCTTTTGTCCTTTTCATTCAGTAACGGCTGACCTTTATTTTATGTTCCTAAAAGAAATCGGCCACACCAAAGCTCTTCTCTTAAAAGTTTGTACAAGACGAGATGTGCTTGTTTGTGTGCTTGATGGGCCCCCACCACTTACGTTGGCCCAATAAGGCCTCGAAAGCGTACAAAAGAGGTTATGTCGAATGATGCAATGCAAGTAAGTATTCCATAAATGCAGACGCGGTATGATTATCCATAAGAAAAATCTATACTGCTTAAGTGATCCCTCATTTCGTGAAAATCAGTTGGATTAATTTTGATTGCGATCCTGGACAAAGTCCACAAGTTGGACGGTTAAGATGCATCTAGTTGAGTTGGGCTTTGACTTTGATCAAATGGTTAGGACTTTCTTTGTTGTGGGTCCAACTCTTTTTAGTTACTCAATAAATGAAGAGCCCACAATTCGGTTTAACCATTGGATTGGTTTGCTCTAGCCTCTACCTGAGGAGACCAACATGCAGGATGGAGGTAGACCCTCACTTGATCTCTATCTAGGGGTCCACTAGTTTTGGGCTTCATCATCTTCTTGATATGATGACCTAACAAATGATGGATCGAGTAAATCTAACCCACTAAATCTCTGTTTGGGAGTGTTTATTTTTAAGCACTTATTTGAAAAGCGTTTATGTTAGGCTGAGACCAAAATATACTTGTTTGTATTTAGAAAATGAGGCCAAATAAGTGCTTTTTCAGGAAATAAATCCGTTTTAAATAAGCTCAAAATTTTGACTATTTTCATGTGTTTTTTACAGACTAAGCATTTCTGGTCCATCTTAGCCCGCCACATAATTTTCAAAATACCTATATTACCCCATTTCAAAGAAACACTTTTTACGCTTATTAAGATAAACACTTACTTATCCAATAAGTATTTCCAAAGATCCAAACAGGAACCAAAACTTTTCGATCAAAACATGTTGCATCTCTTGATTAGTCAGCGGCACTTGAATAAAAAAAGGAATAATTTAATACAAGCAGCCCACTTAATCAAGAATTTGAGACTCTATTTGTTGGAAAACTAGCTAATCGTGAAGGAACCCACCCCACCAAACTTCCTGCCACCTTTTCAACTGTACAACTTGGGTGGGCTTCACAAAGGGCCACCTCCATAAGAATCTTATTGAGGAACCGTACAGTTAATGGGTTGGATCCATGGCCTTTGCATAATAGTTATATAAAGTACTTTTAGACTTTTGTGTTTGGCTCTTGAGACATCTTACAACGAGGCAACACCCCCACCATGGATGCTGGGGCCAACTGCTGGAATTATATACTGACTCAAAACTTCGGAATCCATACAGCATTTCTTTTCTTCATTCATGATAACTCCAATAGTTAGTTGTATTTAGGAGGTCAAGAAATATTCAATAATACAAAACAAAAATGGATTTACATCAGAATTTGAAGAATCAGTAATTTTTTCTTATTTGGTTGGCCTATTATGTCAATTTCTGGGAAATCCGCAAAAAATCAATCCCTAAAATCAACCTGAGTGAGGGATCACAACATTCAGCGATTCCCCAATTTTCAGGTGATTCCGATTTTTGTTGGGTGAGGTGGTATCCTATGTGGCAGGAGCAAGAAGGTGTTCCAGTGCTTTTAATGAAAAATAGTCACTCTTAAAAATCAATACCAAACAATCTCAAAAGTGATTTTTAAAAAATCGGCAGGCATGATGGAAATGATACCAAATAACAATAAAAGAGTGGTTTTTGAAAAATTACTGATTTCAGTAATCACCGGTTTTCTCCAAACATCACCTGACCTAAGGTGGATGATTATGATATGAAAAATTTGTGTGAAAAAATGGATTTTCTCTGCTTTTCTACTTTTTTCCTTTTCTTTGGTGATGTAGTTTGTGTTGTTATGATTACCAGCCTCGTCTTTTTCAAACATCCAAACCCCAGTTAGGTAAGGGTGGGCAGCCTACTATATTGAGTTCTCTTGTGTCTTATCTCTTATCATCCCAATAAAAGAAATTAAAGGGGAGGTTGAGAAGGTGAACTTTTAATAACCTCCTCTATGTTTTCTGTTTTAATCTCTTCTCTACTTTGACCTCTCCAAATTTCTCCTTCAACATTTGGAAGAAATTATACAAATAGATCTTTTTCCCTTTAGTTTGGCTATAAGAATCTATCTGAAAATGATGATGTCATGCTTTTAAACGCTCAGCTTGTTCATAAATGAGAATATTTGAGTGTCTATCAACCAAAATACCCCCGAAAAAGGCTTTTTTTTTTTACATATTCAATGCAAACTTGGCCTTCTAAATAACAGAGATAAGTAGGGCTTGAGAAGCTCTGTAAAATTGGAGAAGACAATAGAAGAATAAAGTTGCTATATGAAAATGTCATACTTTTCTGTCTGAAAAGGTAATATGGGTATGACAGTAATTTCATTGAGGGAGAAATTTGGAGAGATCAAATGAAACCATTTATCATAAAACATAGGGGAGGTACAAATAATTTACCCTAAAATAAAAATAAAAGCCGTCCTAGAGGATGCCTTTGCATGATCAGCTAGAATTTAAACATCAAATTAAGTTTGGAGAGGAATGCTAGTAAAACAAGCTAGTTCTACTCTTCAGTTTCTTAAACAAGGTTGAACCCATGAAAAGACATGTCCAACTTTGTCTTTGTAGTGTCTTTTCAGGGGTCCTACTATGGTGAAGTTTTCTAGAGGCCCATAAGCTTATTATTTGCTACAACTCCTCAAATTTAAAAATTGCACGCTAGAAGACAAAGTTGAAAATGTCCTTTGATAGGTCTCATCTTGTCCTTAGGGTGAAGAAGTGCAATAGCTATTTGATTCAAGTAGTTGCTTACTATCATTATTTCTCTTGTTTTTGAGCTCAAACGAAAATATAGAATGATTTCGACCATTCATTCAACAAAGTGTGGTCTGGAATTGAAAACACAATGTGATGATTTGATCATTGCTGATTTTTGGTGTAGTCAAATGTCTAAAGTAGGATCCTTCCAATACTGGGACCTGCTGATGTCTTTTATATAGACATGTGCCAGCTAAGGAGGCCACTTCATAGTTCTTATGTTGAGGACACCCTCATCTTATAGTACTATTCTAATAAAATCAATGTAGACTTGGGGCTCTATACGAGTTATTTAATTTGGTATTTCAAACTCTTCTCAAGAGAAAAATTATCTTTCTCTATAGTCTATATTGAGGTTGTTGTGTGTGCCAACCAGGAAAAGATAAAGGTTGATCGCATTTCAATTCCACTCTTTTGAGTATGTTTTGATTAAGTTAGTAATTCATCAAGTCAAAATGCAATCAAATTTTGAAAGATACATCAGATGTTGAGGGAAAGTACTTAAGATGGTTTTGGCCATAATTATCGAATGTTCATATAACAGACCAACATGGTTCAAAGTATCATACCATATCATACAATGGTTTTCAAAGGTCATAGATACACTAAGGCTGTGTTTGGTTTGGAGGAAGAAAGTAGGGAAAGGTAAGGAAACTTTTACAAATTTTGTATAGATTTATTTGCCTTTCCCTACCTTAAACATTAAAATTCCTCCTAATATATTTATTTTTGAAATATTGATAACTGAACAAATAAAAAATGCAAGTATTGTTATTTGCTAAACTCGCGATATGCAATTTTGTATAGTTATGGTTTGGGCCACAATCATCGAAAGTTCGTAACAGACCAAGATGGTTTAATGTATCATATAATATACATCAGTTTTTACTTTTTAGAGTCACAGATAAATTAAATGCTAGGATTTGGGGGGTTTCTATAGGTTTAAACATTAAAATTCTTCTTAATACATTTATTTTTTGAAATATTGATAACTGAACAAAATAAAAAATAAAAAAAGTGAGTATTGCAGCCATTTGAAAAATCGCAATATGCCATTTTTGTGTATCATGAGTATCAATATATAGTTTTGAACTATCTTAAACAATTGATACGCCGAATCATCATTTATAAATATATATATATATATATATATATATATGTATAAATAATGAATATAAAATTATATAAAAAAAATTATGCAGTGAGAAAATGGATGCAAAAGGATAATATGAAGAGATGAAAGGAGAGCATGCACTAGTCGTTGCACTGTAGAGTAGGATATAATACCCACCTTAAAAATGAAGACAAAACAGTATTAGTTGGAATTTGGAGTAGAATATGTGCAAGATGCAAGCTACTGATTTTAAAACACTATAACATACAAAAAATTGTAAGCAAAATACTCACCAAGTTCATGTCTTTTTGACCATTCAAATGCTGAATTATAAGGTAAGACCGCTTCTTTTTTTTATTCCTTCTTTTGGTTCAGGTATCTAGTAATAAAGAATGAACCCAAAAAAAAAAAAAAAAGGTTTACTTTAGCCGATCCAAAGAGAAAGGATTCTCTTTATTTCCCTTTTTTTTTTGTCCTTTTACTATAGGATTAATGGGTTTGCTTTATTTGGATTTCCCATTTTGAAACATGTCTCTTAGTGTTCTATTATAAACATTTCTCTTGCTTTACAATAATTTCTACATTGTAGGAGAAAGAGAATAAAAGGTAATTAATCAAATAAAACTTGGATGATTGGTCTAAATTCTAATAAATAAAACTGTTCTTGGCACAAGATCCAAAGAACCCATATGACTCACGTCAACACAAGAAGCCCAAAATGCTGAGTGACCTGGACCCTCACCCAGTTTTGGGTAGGTCCCAAGTTTCCACAGTTTCAATCAACCGTGCAAGGACGTTTTGCTTTTTTCTGAATGGAAGCACTTTTTAGAAAGAAGCTTTATCCAAACATCATTTTCATTCTTAGAAGCACAGAGATCAAAAGAAATTAATGGTTTTCATCAGGATGCATGCCACATTTGGCCTTAGTCTCTTGAGGTGGACGAATTTACGGTTGCATGTTCAGGTTTCCTTTACACATTGACCTGAAAATCACTTTCTGAAAGCATCAAAGAATACCACTTTCAGGAGGAATTAATTTCACATTACTGTTCAAACAGTTCTCTAGTGTTCTAGTCAAAACTATAATGCTTTCTACTGTTCTGCTCAGAGTCTAATGAGTACGTTCTTCAACTTATCTTAGATCAAAGGATAACGCTTATTTGGAAGATTCAAAAAGTTCTCTCTCAAAACTGTCCCCGTATTTTGTATTAACTGATCCATATACAAAAATCGTTCCAAAAATTCTGGTTTCTATTACTAATAAGGTTCTGGGTTTTATTATTATAACACTGAAGTGTGCCCACCTGAACCAGACCCAAAAATTTTCAATCATTTCTTTTTTATTTTTATTTTTTGAGGGGTTAATTTCTTGTGGTACAGTCTTAATTAAATTAAGAAAAATTAAGTTGTGTTTGGATAAGTTTCGGGATTCAATTTGTATTTTTAAAGTCCAAGAGCATGGACTTTCCAGTTTTAGGCTTTATGCTTTGAGTTTTTGTTGAAGTTTTTTTGCTTTAGATTGAAATGTTTTTAATTAACTCCTACCAAACACTAGCTCAAAATTAATGCCTTATGTCTCAATTTTACTCCCAAAGCCCGAAGCTAGCTTAAAAAATGCTTATCCAAAATCCAAATAGCGCCTTAGTTACCAAGAAACAAACATGTACAAACAGACATCTTGTAGCATATGAATTCAGCATAGTACAAAGCACGAAACAGGCCAAAAGTAGATATTAGCAATAGGAGTGCTATAAAACAGCTTCAGCTGCACATGAATCAAAAACAGGGGCTGTAGCAACCAAAGAAAGGAAATGGAGGAGGAGGAGGAGGAGGAGGAAGGCATTTCCCTAAATTAAATCATTCTGATACCAATGTCATGTTTCAGACAAACTTTCGTTCAAGAGAAACACTTAAGCTTTCACCAAATCTCTGAAAACCAAACTAATAATTAAAATGAATTCATCTTCTGGATGAAGAATAAGCACGAGGAACTCAGTTTCGGACTGTAGTGCTTGAATAGGGGTGCCCAATAATTTGGTGTTTGTCACAAAATAGAGGCTGCAGACCTGATTTTACTATCCTCACAGGAACAGACATGTCCGTAGTTGGGAAGCAGCGTTATATAGATCACGACTCTCCTGAGGCAAACAAGCTCATGAACAATAAAACTGTTTTTCCCCGCTTTTAAGTTTTTCCATCTTATTCAATTCTCCAGGCATATATCTAATTGGAAGGCGGGCCATCCTCTTAATAATTGGCAGCAGGAAATGTTCACTACTGTGTAGTAGAATTCACGGGCTTTTGTCCACTCTTATGCATGAGTCTTCGTATAGTAGACAATCAGAAAGAACCATTAAATACAGTCAAAGGACGTACTATCCACATTAATTGTTCTAAGTGAAGATAAGTGCACTGAGACTAGCTGGAAGTGGAAGGACAGAAAATGATAATTGGGTTTGTGGGGATGATCAGAATAAAGATGATATATATTCAAGTTGCAGAGGAGAATCGGTTCTATCCGAGTTAATATGCCATGAACTTCTGTTTTAGCTTTGCTCAGCAGATTCTTCAGATTTTAGAGCCATTCCTAAACGGCTAAACCCCCAATTCCAATCTCCAGAGTATTAGTTCAACCAGACTAGAGCTATCCTTCATGAATGCCAACTGCCTTGCAACCATTTAGCTCTTCCCTTAATTACCAAGTGAAAGACTAGAGCTATCCTAGTATATATACCTTTTCAGATGTATGCATGGAATAAATAAGCTCAATGCTGGTTAGGAATACTTTATCATCCAAGCTAATTAGGTGAATCAAGGAAAAGCGGATTGAGTATCAAAATTAGAATATATATATATATATATATATAGGTAGCTAGCTAGCTAGGCATTATTAGGTCTAAACCTTTGGTCCATTAATTATATATTGATATGAAGCTAATTAATTAACAAGAACAAAATGAATTCCCCATTAATTTTTCCTCTTTGACAAATGCTTACACTATAACCCTATCAATACACAATTACTAATTAAGGATACACAAGATCTAAGAAACCACCATAGATGGATCATATATAGGGTTTCTAATTGAATAATTAAGCATTAATTCTAGGGATCCTAGCAAGCCTACTTCAATTTTAGTAGCAACGGCTCATGTTTAGAAGTATTTAGTAGCACTTCAAAATTGATGAAATCTTCTGCTGCACCAATTAATTTGGCCCAGGCTAGATCTCCTTCATCTCATGAGCGTTGAAGATAGGAAAAGGCCACTGATTGAAGGTCATCCATATCTTGGAACGCCCACTTCCTGCTGTTTGCTTGCATGTCGAGTGAAGCCATGGCATGAGATGGGTCTTCAAAACTAGTGAATGAGACAGTTTCTTCAGGTACGACAGAGTTCTGATATTCATCCATAGGGTTGAGATCCATGTATCCGTTGTCATAGTACATCAAGGAATCCACATTGGTGTTCTGATTCGGAAGGAATTGCTGTGCCATCCGAGAATTCTCTGAAATAAACAAACCTTGGACATCCTGTGGATAAGAAGGAAATTTTCCATAGAACTTGTCTTCTTGGGGGCTTGAGGTAGTAGAGCCATTGACAAGGTTCTGTGCTGCTTGTGCCTTGAGAGTGGCGAGCTGTGCTTGTAGGTTGACAACCTGCAGAATTTCAAGCAGATAACACAGTACCGATGAGAATATGATTCTGAGAAATTCAGAAATCTTGAAAAGTGTAAGCACCATATATATTATTTACCTGTTGTTGAAGTGCGAAAATATGAGAGACACATCCATATATGGGATCTTGGAGTCTTGCTTGAGCTTCGTAAGAGATTGTCACCGCTGCTTCACAACGGTCTGTTACAGGGAGGTGTGCAAGGAGCTTAGAAACATTGCTTGCACCGAATACCTTGTGAATTGCAGCGAAGTGTGTGGCTCCTTGTTCATGGCAGAAATAAGGAGCAAAGACACAGCCCCTCACACACTTCCTCCTCAAGAATTTGCAGGCTCCACAAGGAGATCCAAAGCCTGTCATCTTGGCTCTTAGTTCCTTGGTGATTTCACTCTCTCTCTCTTAGTTTTCTTTGTTTTGGTGACTTTGCTCGTAGTCCAGTGCAACCACTTTCACAATGTTTATAAACACTCGAATCCTGAGAGAGAGATGGAGGTGGACCATATTCTGGTGAATATTAAACTAGTCTTGGTCTCCCTAATGGGCTACAGATTTCATTATTTTTCTATGTCACAGCCCTATTTCATCCCATCTTAAATTTTTATACTTACATGAGATTCCACTGTAAACGACAAAAGAGCTAACATAAACCCAACTCATCTCTATTTGCTTGATCATTATATATAGCAGTAATTTCCCTTGGTCTCTCAGTCGTTTCTTTTGATGGTTTGCTCTTTACTGTAATAGATTCAAGTTCATTAATTGATCTGAGATTGTGGTTGGATAGTTAGATTTGATACAAATGTGCATGGTAAATGAAGTCTGAACATCTAGGCTTTATAGACCTTAGCCACTATGTATAGCCACAGACCCACAGCCACCCACTTGTACCCATGGATGTTCAGACAAGTTGGAGTTTTGGGGAGGACTAATAGTTTGATCGGGCCCACCCAGGAATACTTCCTTTGGCTAGAGATAAGAGATCTTTGATCCATTAAGATGATAAGCCATCCAATTATCAAATTCATTAATTTCACCAGTCAAAACACTTACGTGCACGGTCCAAAATAAAGCAATACAGAAACAGCTACTGTCATCCAGTTTGATTGAATTTCACCCAAGAGATTTAGTTAGGTGTAACCCATAGAGTCGTGGGTTCCTCGAAACAACTCCGATAATCCAACCGACCAGGTTCTACTTGGGAGAGATCTATGTCTAACCCATTAAATGGGCGTACAGTGATTTCTGTAACATACCCAAATTATCTTCAGTTCCCAAATTTCAATGCAAAAACAGAAGAATGAAACAGAATATGAGAGAGAGAGCGAGAGAGAGATTTGCATTTGTTTTAGTGTTGCAGTCTCCATCCATAATAATAATAATAAACCCTACATGGCTTAGCCTGTTAATCCTCCCATTAGCTTAAGCAACTCTTAATTAATTAAGAGTTAAGACTAAACCAGCTGATAGAAAAAAAAAAAATGAAAGGAAACAACTTTTAGCTCTTAGACTAGTCCAACATATCAACAGGGTTTATTGCATGGCATGCACCAGCCACCCTGGAGACCATTATCAGATCTTCGGAATGGCTTTCAGCCATGTGTACTTGCTTGTTGGCCACATTGAACCATGAAAGCAAAGATCGTGACCTTGGAGACAGGAAGGCAGGTTTAATTCAACTAACCATCTTTATTACTTGTTTATACGATTAACATCCCAAGAAACTCACCTGACTGAGCTTTTTTTTTTTTAGTATTTCATCAGAAAGTGGCTTTATGTAATCTTTAATTAGCCTAGCTACCTAAACACAAATTTCTCCTCCTCCCATCTATATAGCCCTCTTTTTCTTAGTCAGGTGGATAAACAAATCATACACAGCTTTTTAAGGTTATAAAACTATTACATTGATTTTGTTTTTCTGTGGATGGTTAGCATGAATGATAAATGGAAGTTTATGAACATGATACAAGGGCATACTGGTGGCCGGTTGATCTGGATGCCAAAGTGGAATGCTACCTTGCAGTTGGTTGAACGTCTAAATGGTTGAGCAATAGGATGATTTCGAACGAAGGGGGTATTCTGTAGCATGGATGTTTTGTTGATTCCAATTTTAAAACACAACACACCCATTAATTTGGCATTCTTTAATGTGTGTACTGTACGTTCAAACTATTTGTGGACAATTTTAAAAAAGAAAATATCATAATTTCTCTTCCATTTGAGAAGAGTACAAACACCATCTCAGTGCATACATGCTATTTCTCTCTCCCTCTTCAATTTTGCATGTATTTGGGACGAATACATTTGTGTTTTAAAAATGATAAGAAAACTTGAATTCCATTACACTTTTGCATTCAAAATGATGGCCAAATGTAAAAAAAGGTAAATCAATCTTGAAATTTGTATTTAAGGAAAATCTATTATGCGTGAAAGACATGATACTGGAAAGGCTTTGACCAATCACAACCCCATATAAATTTGATAAAAATCTACCTGACTGATTACTACTTTTATATATGAAGAGGATTGATTGATTGTAAGTTTTTCCAATATCATATCTTTCCAGCATCATAGTTCAATCCATGTATTTATATCATGGAAACTAAAGATAATTTGACAAGAGTGAAATTGTCATTGAAAACTGCACCAATTATTTGCATTTTTGTGAATTTTTCACTCTTCCCAAAGGGAACTAATGTCAATCATGTGGTTCTATCCACACAATAGATTGACCGATTATCATGTGTGCTATAATAATTAATCAAAATATTTTATTTAAAAAAATTGATAATATATATTCCCATAACGATGTGGTTCAAACCTTATTATTTCGAACATATCACAATGGGGCCCAATAGATTCATAAACACTATACTGCTGAACGCCCTTTGAATGATCACATTTACAAAAACCAGGTGTTAATCCGCTCAACCATCCGGATACGATAGCTTTAAAAAGTATTGGTAATAGATGTCGTAGGTTGAAAACTAAGGCTATGTTTAGAAAGAATATAAACACAAATTTATAGATTGCAGAACTTTACATTTTGTATTATTTTTTATGTATTTATATTTTATATATTTGTATCATCATTTTCATAATCGGATCGGACTGGATAATTGGATCGAAAAATTTTCGTTTTTTCCAAAAACAATTTTGATTTTGTCCAGTAAACTGTTGAACCATCCGATTAATTATTCGAACGAACTTTGCCCTGATCGAAGCCGGACTCCTACTGAAGACAGAAGACAGGCAAGAGGTGGGATAGAGATTCCCTCGTTAATATATAACTTATTCACATGTATAGGCGTGCATCCCTCTTTAGCGGGTTGCCGGCATTTCAGAAAGAGAGGAGTGACGAGTTGCCCCAAAAAGGCTCAATCCTTGCGGTGTGGATGTTACAAGTTAGAACAGAACTCCCTTTTTTTATTCAGTTTGAAAGTTTGAATAATATATTTGGTTTCTTTGACCATATTTAGATAGGTGAGATTATTAATCATTCCATTGATGCGTGGGTCCAGTCGGCCCATGTGTACACCACGACCACGAATTATTAATCATTTCATTAGGGATTAATTACCTTTTACAAAACTACACGACTCTGTAGCTTTTTTAACTATGTACATCAGTACATGGTCATGGACAACAACTATTGGTAGTTTGCTATTACACATCCAGCCCATACTGAAATAATCTGTAAATAAAATTAATTGATTTGAAAATAAATTGATTCTTAAAATAAAAATATAGAAAATATATTCGTGGATTTTTGTTAATACATGCTTTTTGTTTTCAAAACCGAAATTGAAAATATGTTCTTAAATTTTTGGTTTAAATAACGAGTCTGGATCTGTTCTTTACATCAATCTCACATATCTCAATGGCACATCAGGAACATCTTCCATACTTCATATTATTATTTGTAGAAAGATATTTTCAATACACAGTGGAATAGGGCTGTGAAGTTGGTGTGAGGTTGTACTTTGTAAGAACTAAATCCCAATTCTTAAATAATATGTTTTCCTCTAACTATTTAATATTGAAAAAATTTATGATACGGGAAAGAGTTCAGCTTCCATCAAGGCAAGTTTATATTCGCACCGTTTGAACAGCCCCTTGCAACCTTGCATTAAGAATATCTACATTGAAATAAATCACATATAGAGATATTCCCAATACAAAACTGTAAAAGAACGGACTTTGCCCTGACTGAAGCTAGACTCTACGGGAAAGGCTTTGATCAATCAAAACCGCCTGTAAATTTTAATGAAAACCCACCTTATTGGTTACAACTGATCAGATGATGCCCGTTGATTGGTTATATACTTATATGTCTTTTACGTACCATGTCATTACAAAAAAAGGTTTGTTTTATTTTAGAAATCAACTTATTTTTTGCTTTTTAAAGTAAAAGAAACAATTCAAGAGCATGTTTTCGTTTTTTCTCTGATGTAGCAACAAAATCAAATGAAGACAAAAACATCCATATACGTTAAAGAACTCTTCCTATGGTTTTCTCTGGTTGTTGTATTCCACTATTTAAGAGAGATCTTAAAGTAATTAAAGAAGAAGGATTTCACACAAAATAGTCTTCGTTCTAGATGCTGTTGCTGCCTTAGATTTCACGCGATTAAAAGGAAACCCAAATGAGCAGAGTCATCTGAATTCTGAAATGGGCCTCAGAAAATTGGACACATCTTCTGTTGGGACTTGGGAGGTCCCACGCGGGAGCACAGAGGCTGGAAAAGGCTTGGCAGTTTAGGAGACAATTAGGATACGGCAGAGCAGGTAGGCGGGGCTCACGCGCCACAGCCCGGACTAGGGGGCGCACCCCTAGCTAGGTACGATGGAAAGAAACCACACAGGTTGAGCTGATGATAATATGCACCCACTGCCCACTGCTGTGGCTGCTGGCCCCCACCCCCCCTCTGTCCTGAAAGCATGGCAGTACAAACACTAGCCTAACTATGAACCATTATCATATTCTTTTCTTTTAGAGTTGGGATCAACAAACCCTTCCAACACGCTTACAATCACACATTTCGATTTTCATCTGTTATTCACAGAGCGCTCCTCACAACACCTCTCAGCTGTACATTAGGAATATCTCCTGTACCTATTATTTATAAGAAAATGTTTTCAATACATGGTGGGATAGGACTGTGAAATTGGTGTGATGTGCATTCTGTGAGGAACAAATCTCAATTTGCACATTTCATATTTGATGGTTACTGTCTTATAATGGGTCCAAGTCTCATGGTGAGATGCCTGATGTCTGGGTTCCAATCTCATGGTTAGACTTAGATGTATGGTTTCAGATCATGTTGGAATTAAAAGCATGTTGGAATTATTTTGTTGGGAGCAAAGTCAGACTCCCTCTTGTACTTAATAATATATTTATCAACTCTCTTCTTAATCATTTGCATGTTAACTAGGCCTCCTTACACAGT